TATGCTATCATGTTTTTATAAATATGTTTAGATTATTGTAATTCGATAGTATTAAAAAATCAAACTGAAAAAGATTGCATAGAGTCTAAGTATAAAGTAATTTAGTATTTGTATTCGTTTTTAACCTATACTATAGGATTATCTTCAATAAAATGTAATTCTATTCAATTTTATATGATATGTCGATAAACTTTAAAATTCCAGTAATTTTGTGTGGGATAGCAGTCAATGCTGATGTTTGCAGACAAAGAGCACAAAAATGTACAGAACGATCTTGCTCGTTTTTCTCGATAATACCACATAAAATGACGTGTCCTGCTAGTAATACTTGTTCTCCTTCTATAAAATTTCTCGATGAACTGCTACAAGTAGCATATTTCATTATATCAGATAGTAATATATAATTCATTTTACATTGACGACTAACAAACGACCCAGATAGAGTAGCCATTTTGTAAAAATACAGCGCCCTCTATAGTTCATGAAAAACGCGAATAGAACAGGGTCAAAAAAAGTGGTGCCCTTGGCTTTAAAGCTTATATATTGGGCAGCCACGCCCTCGGGCGCTGGGCTTGACGCGCCCTTTACCAGTCGTGGTGAGACACGACATGACAATTTGCTTCACTAAAAGCAAGAAAGTTAAACTTTACAAAATATTTTATATTGGGCATTAATTTATATAAGTATTATTGATATTATTTTGTCTCTATTATTAAATTAAATTACTGAAAAATTTGTAATATTCTAATTCATCTCAACAAAAGAAAAACAAAGAAATACTTACTTTGTTTTTCTTTTGTTAAGGTTACTGTGATTTTATTTGTAATATGTGTAATTTTATGTTCCTACTATTGTTGCACTATTACTACATTCCGTGACTTTTTTATTTAATACATATTAGAAATAAAAAAACTATACATAGGGGCGGAATTTATCCTTCTGCCTCCAGTGAAAATAACTCTAGGCCAGGCTATGGTCCTCATATACATTGCAGAAAGTTAGCTGAATTAATCCCAGTGGCTGGTTCATTCTTATTGTGGAAAGTTACTATGATTTTTCTAAACTACATTATAAAAAATAAATACTGTATACAATGTTGACTGCTGGCACATAAAGTGTGACTTTATATAAGTTTGTATAATACATGCAAGACTAAGCAATTGGCCAGCATAAAAAGCAGGCACTCAGTAAAAAATTCTGTATGTTCAGTTACTTTATACACAATATTAACAGTAATTTTTTTTAGAAAAAGTGCACTGGGTTTATAAAAAGCATAGACACTATTAAGCAATTGTAAGCTTGAAAGGCACTTTATGGCAGGCATTCCTATGACCTGGCCCAAGATTTTGTTGACAAAACTGCATCAAACAGCAGGTTAGCTTGGGGATGCCTCTTTGGGAAGACAGAAGGGTTCATGAATGCCATACAGGATAGGGTCATAAATACTAAAAACTGCAGAAACTCACAAATGACACATGTAGAAAATGTCAGATCATGCCAGAAACTATACAACACATCACTTCTGGTTGCAAGATCTTGGCACAGACAGATTATTTACACAGACATAATCAAGTAGCAAATATACACCAAGAGCTTGCAAAGAAACACAAATTATTAGGCATCCACAAACCATACTACAAATACATTCCACAGACAGTATTGGAAAACAACATGCACAAAATTTACTATGACAGAGCCATAATCACAGAAATACTAAATACTAAATTTACCACAACAGATCATACATCACACTCATTGACACACACAATAAAATCACATACATTATAGATGATATGTGTATAATGTATCCATTCCAAACACTCACAATATACAAAACACATGCGCTGAAAAAATCAGCAAGTACATAGAACTAGCCCAGGAAATAATACACTTGTAAAGGATGGATAGGGTGCTTATTGTACCTGTTGTTCTCTCCTCTACAAGTGTCATACCACACACATTACACAAAAGCCTGGGAACATTACAATTGAATAGAAACACGTACATCACACTACAGAAGGCCACTATATTGAATGCATGTCATATTGTTATGAAATTCCTAAATACAGACACACACATTGACACATTTATTTTTTTGTTTTGTTTTCGTTGCTATGCCTTGACTCTGGTCCAGCATAGTACACAGCCTGTAGTGTCAACCGAGTATAACCCACTATCCAACATAATTATAATAATAATATGTGTATAATTAAAGCTATTAGTCTTTTAATCTGTAAAACTATAACTGTGTATTAATATTTTATTGTAATCTTGCTCCTGGCTCAACTCTTTAGAGAATTAATAAATTTTGTATGATAATTATCATCTTTAAAAGATTCAACTATTATATAAAGCCAAACAATCTGCCATATTATTGAGCTTAATAAGGCTAATTTTTAATTAATACCAAATGATCTGCAATATTATCAAGCTATGATAAGGCTAAAAAATAAGCCTTTAAATAATACAACTTAAAAATAGTTCAATAAATATTTGGTTAAATATAAATAAATATTTTCTGACAATGATTTTTTTATTCAGTCTGATATTGAATTATTTGATAAACTCATGCCAATTCAAACTTTGCTAAATCTGAACCAATTTTAAATTGTTTTTCAACTAAATGTTCCAGTCAAAAAGATATCACTGATTATTTTCTAAAATCATAATGAAGTTATAAAATTAGTATGTACTCTTATTTTTAACATAAAAATATGTACCAAAAATAGTATAAACATTATACATTTTTTAAAATTTGCCTTTAATATTTTCTGACTGCAATTATTTAAAATCTTTTTTCCATATATAATTATCTTACTGCTTTTGGAAAATATATGAAGTAGAAATTTCTTTTTTTTTTAATAGTTTTACTAATAACTTAAGAATAATTTTACCTTCTTGAAAGTATAATAAGTACTTTCAAAAGGTTGTATCATCCAGCTAATTAATAACAAATTCAGAAATCTCATTTTGTATTATGTATTATAAATTACTATGTTAATTTAAATAATATTACTAACGTTATATCAGCATTATTATGCAATCCAAAAACTAAAGGAGTATCGACAGCAGGAAGATCTTCTATAAATTTAATATATTCGTCTCTTTTATTGCATCTTGGCATTCTATATCCAATATAAAATGAAAATTCATCTTGAAACATGTGTTCTCCAAAATATACCTATATTTATTTGTAAAATATATTATTAATAAATAGCATTAAAAATTCAAAAATATTTTTAATAAAATTAAAAATTTTACTTTTGTTAAGGTACTTAATAATCTTTTGTCAAGATCATCAGTTACTCTTCCACCGTACTGAACTTCTCCAATCATATAATGTACCGTTATCCAAGAAACACCCTTTTTTTGAAAAAATAAGATGTTAGCAATTTTTTCTTTATAAAAAAGTTTTTAAACATTAATAGTACTTTTTTTGGATCCATGTCATCTAGATGATTTTGTATAAACTGAACACTTGCTGACCAGTCCAATGAATTGAATTCATAAGGAATATTCCATCCTAATGGGCCAAATTTTCTTCGTTCCTGTAAATTTGAAAATTTATAAATGTGTACGATCTTTTTTTCCATCAGCATGCAAAATATATTCATATCTTAGCTATAAAATAATTTATTAGTTAAGCATTAAGCATAAGTCAAGTTTTGATAATATTTTATCAAAACTTGACTTATTTTACTTAAAATATTGAATTTAATAATTAATAAAATGAAAGATTTTTAAATATTTTCCAAACCTGAACAACTCCATGGAGAAAAGAAACTCCATATAACATTGACTGCCATTGAGGATATGAAATTATTTCTAGCATGTGATCACTCATTAAGGAATAAGTGCGTTTAAGATTAGCTTTCAATCCTTGAGGTGGTTCATTTGTATATCTGATAGACATCTGTAATAAAGAAATTGGAAATCTTTGATGACCTTCGGTTGTAATCCAAATTCTAAAACTGTTGTTTATAGTTTGGGTTGAAATTAATATTTCTAAAACTTCGTCCATGAATTCGAGTCCCAAATGGCAGTTTTGTAATAATGACCATCCTCCCTGAAATAAAAATTTATTGACTTAGAATAAAATGATATTCTACCATTTTAACGATTAATTTTCATTAATTTTTATATAGCTATATTTAATATTCAAGTTTCTGTAATGTAATTTTAATACTCTAGAAATATTTTTTGTAACATTGGTCATTAGACTATTATTTCAACTGTCATTTGATGATTTACAGATTAGTGACATGTCACCATCCTAACATAGAGATAGACTAAACAGACTAGTTTGAAGGACTATTCATGTAGAAAATGAAAGCAGATGCAAGGAAGATAGTAAATCAGCTAAAGGAATGATGTGAAAAATCAATATACAGTAGAGCATCGATTATCCGACCCCCGATTAACCGTCACATCGGTTAACCGACCGTTCTAGTCGACAAATTTCAAATGTCCGCTAGTGATGTGGCGCTACAATATTTGGCTATGTCTTGGCTACTTTAATATTATTTTTGTTAAATTTTTGCGTATTTTAGCTGGCATCAACGGCTCGACCATTGAAGGGAGGCCAGTATTTAAACGAGACTTAATTTTCAAATTATGAGTGGTTGTTTGTTTTGTGAGCAATAAAATAATTTTAAAATAATTTTTAACGATACAATAGCGACAATTATTATTTTAAGAAAATTTGTTAGGCTAAACATCGATGAAAATTCAACACAAAGTTGGTTAATAGCGATATACTAATATACTAATTACATGGGATATACTATTATACTATACTAATAATGTATTTTTTTCATTATTTTCAGTTATCCGACCAACCTGAGTTCCCAATTGAGTCAGATAATTGATGCTCTATTGTATTGTAAACAGAAGACAATGACAAAAATAAGGAATGGCAGGGGCATTGGACAAGATAGGATCCCTGTCAAGGCTTAGAAGGCACTCAAGAGACGGCACTGGCCTATAATGGAATAAATTAAGAAAAAATGTAAATATGAAGAAGTAACAAATAAAGGTGAGAAAGCATGACTATTTATTAAGGAAAAGAGAATGCACAAGAGTGTAGAAATTACAGATGTATAAAGTTGATATATCATACAGTAAAATATTGAATCACTACAACGTTCCTTATTTATCCAGCAGTCAATTTAATAAAAGAATGAATGTTTTCAGTCACTTTTAGTGGTCTGTTCAGATTATGTAAGCCATTCAAATAACAAAAAAGTTTTTATATTTTCTAAAATGGAATTACAAAAGCTTTTTCATTATTTGAATGGTTTATTAACCCAAATAGGCCCTAAAAATGACCAAAAACATGTGTTCTTTTATTAAATTTACTGGAAAAGTATATTTATAAAAAGAAAAGTAAGAAAGGTGCATGGTGACTCATTGTATGTTGTTCCAGCTGTAGCGCTACGCGACTATGTATTGTTATTATATGTATGTATATATATATTTTTGTCGGGTTCCTTTGTGTTTTGTATCGGGTTTTTTGTCATTTATGCGATGTCACGTGTGTGTGTTATGATGTCACCGATTGGGTGGAGCTTTCCGATATGTAACGCTACGCGACTATTGGTTGTTAATATGTGTATGTGTATAAATATTATTTTTTTGTCGGGTTCCTTTTGTTTTGTATCGGGTTCTTGCCATTTATACAATGTCACGTGCGCGTGTATTATGATGTCACCGCATGGGAGGAGCTTTCCGATTGGTCCAAGGTGGGACACGTGGTAATGCGGACTTCCAGAGAGCGGGAGATATAAAACGTGTGAACTCCCGTTATAGGATTATTCTGGTCTCTGTACCCGTTGAGGAGAGTGGTCGTTATACTGGTAAAAATAAACCTTTTCTTTGTTTCCGTGCACGTGTTGGTCATTTACTGTGTCCTTTGTTTTATTGCCCTGTGGATTCCTATCTACGGCATACTCTACATTGGCGTCCGCGACAGGATTTTTGTGATCGAGTGTTTGTTGTGAAAGGACCGGCCAACCGTGCATTCTTTTGTTGGAAAGTTTCGATAAAACTATGGATGAACAGATTATTAGTGGATCTTCAGGGACAGGAGCAGGAGAATTTGGCAATGTGCCCATTGTAACGGGATTTATGGGTATGATCCCATGTTTTTCGAATCTGCCAGGAGACACCTTAGATGTGAGTCGATTTTTCGAAACCGTCGAGGACACAGCGTTATTGGCAAGTTGGGACGAGAAAGTGAAGGTCAACGTGGTTCGTGCTCGCCTAAAAGGAGAGCCTTTGTCTGTGTTTTTCGACTTGCGGGACCAGGGCGTCAGAAGCTATGATGAAATCAGGAGAGGACTTATAAAATGCTTTGGTCGTAAGGAAAAGGAACAAAGCCCCTTTGATCAAGTATTAAAGATATCCCAGAGAAGAGGTGAGAAAGTTTATGAATATGGGATTAGGGTTAAATCATTGTTTTCGCGAGCGGTGACGCGCAACCCTAACTTAGCGACAATTCGCGACAATGCCGTCAAGGAGTGTTTTGTGAAAGGGCTATTAGCGGAGATTCGGAGGCAGGTAATGCAGAGCCGGCCAGACACTTTGGATGAGGCGATAGCAAGGGCCGAAGAGGAAGAGGAAACTGAATCAGCCTGCAATAAGCGAAACAGGATAAGTGAGGTATGCGCAAATGTTGAGCATGAAAGGGGTTTGGAGGGAAAGGAAGGACAAATAGGTAACCGTGTAGCGGAATTGGAGACTCAAGTAAAGAGTTTAACTGAGTCTATGGCATCTTTGCTTGAATATGTGAAGGAAAGTAAGGGCCGCGAGAAGTGGGGAGAAGAGCGCCGTTGCTACTCGTGCGGTGAGAGGGGACATATTGCGAGGAGATGCAACAAAAGAAGGGATTTAAACTAGTCACAGGTCATTTGAAAGGTCAGGCGAATGACCCGTTAGTTAAATTAGAACTGACCAGTAAGATACATTTGTCAAACCGAGGGTTACCGATTGTAAAGGGAGTAATAATAGGTCATGAAATTGCTGGCCTAGTAGATACGGGCGCCGAAAGGACCGTTATTAATAATGAATTGACTGAATACCTCAAGCAAGAAAATAAGAATTGGGTGGTCCCGAATGATTCATGTATTAGTGGGATGTCAGGAGCACTCATAAAAAGTGACGAGGCCGTAGAAATCGAGTGCTGTTTCCATGATGGGAATAAGGTATGCACGAAAACACCTAGTGTTGGTTTTCCTGAAGGGGCAAGTTATGATATGATCATCGGAATGGACATTATTTGCCAGCACCCTGGGTTGTTGGTGGGGATCGGATCGGTAGTTAAGGCAGATAAACCGAGTTGCGAAGGGGGATTTTGTATTAATATAAATAGTGAGGCAAGTGTAGAAAGAGAAGTGTGGAAGTTGGATCACCTGGACGACCCGGTTAAGGGGAAGATAATAGATATTTTGAGCAAATATCCTGACGCTGTCGCTAGCGAAATTGCCGAGTTATCTGGCACTAGCAGATATATGCACTCTGTCAGCCTGACGTTGGAACGACCTGTTAATGTGAGACAGTACCGAATTCCATACAGTTACTTACCTGGCCTTAAGAAGCAAGTTATTGAGCTGGTCAAAGCAGGTATATTTGAAGAGAGCTCATCGGAGTGGAACTCTCCTATACATGGTTGTTCCTAAGAGCTCTGGTGAGATTTGTATCACTTTAGACCTGCGAAAGATTAATGAGATAACAAAACCCCAGGTATTCCCAATGGCTCGGATAGATGACATTTTATCCCAACTTAACGGTAACAGATATTTCTCCGTATTAGACTTGAAGGCAGGATATTTCCAGATTCCTCTGGACCCTAAGGTGAGGCACATATTTGCCCATATTTGCCTTCTCCACGCCTTGGGGAAAATACCAACTTCGTAGGATGCCTCAGGGTGGGAAGAATAGTGGGAGGTTCTTCCAATACATTATGACAAAGATTTTAGCAAAATTTGTCGGAAATAGCTGCTTTGTGTTTCAAGATGATATTGTATTATTTTCACAAAGTTTGGAGGATCATCTTGAACTGGTCGATTGTGTAATAAGTACATTAAGGGATGAGGGCCTAAAACTAAATCCGAGTAAATGCCAAATATTAGCAAAAGAAGTGAGATATTTAGGACACATTATTAATAGCGAGGGGGTGCAACC